CTATATGATGAAGCTTCAAATAATTGGGAGTTTGTACTTACCACAGACGCTTCTGAAGTTCTAACCTGTAAAACCATAAAACAGTGTTAGAAACTAAATTTTACTACAGTAAGATCGTTTAAAATAATCTTGTAAAATAATAAACCCCGTCACAATACAGAAGTTGTACTTTAACACTTCGGCCATGATAAAAAAGTATCACTCACTAAGAGTTTTAAATTAATGCCACACTTTAGGTGCTGAACCAATGGCCTTCATCCCAGATAATAATAAAAAAAATGACCAGTTACTAATATATGATTTCTCACCTTTATTACTAACTAATACTTTTGTCTTTATTAAATATAAATTTTATGTTCAATATATATTAAAACTTAGAATTGTGTCTTTTCCAAATGAACAGAAACAATGAGTTACATCCCTGACACCGTTATCTCAAACAAGAAGTTTGTCTGTTTCTCGAGGTAAGAAATCTTTTATTTATTACAATGGAGAAATTATGTCAGGCAGCCGTTAAGGCTGGAATACATCTTGAATATTACATAAAATAGTTAAGATACTCACCGGTGGTCTTGCTGGTGGCGTCATTCTTAGTTCACTAATCACTTAACCGAGAGCACTTATTTTCTTAACCGAGGTCACTTTTTTCCTTAACCGAGGTCACTTATTTTCTTAACCGAGATCACTTAATTTCACTTAACTGAGACCACTTATTTTCTAAACCGAGATCACTTATTTTCTTAACCGAGGTCACTTATTTTCTTAACCGAGATCACTTATTTTCTTAACCGAGGTCATTTATTTTCTTAAAAGAGATCACTTATTTTCACTTAACTGAGACCACTTATTTTCTTAACCGATGTCACTTATTTTCTAAACCGAAATCACTTATTTTCTTAACCGAGATCACTTATTTTCTTAACCGAGGTCACTTATTTTCTTAACCGAGATCACTTATTTTGTTAACCGAGGTCACTTATTTTCTTAACCGAGGTCACTTATTTTCTTAACCGAGATCACTTATTTTCACTTAACTGAGACCACTTATTTTCTAAACCGAGATCACTTATTTTCTTAACCGAGGTCACTTATTTTCTTAACCGAGGTCACTTATTTTCTTAACCGAGATCACTTATTTTCTTAACCGAGGTCACTTATTTTCTTAACCGAGGTCACTTATTTTCTTAACCGAGATCACTTATTTTCACTTAACTGAGACCACTTATTTTCTAAACCGAGATCACTTATTTTCTTAACCGAGGTCACTTATTTTCTTAACCGAGATCACTAATTTTCACTTAACTGAGTTCACAAATGATCACCTTAGCGAGATCACTAATTATCATTTAACTGAGAAAACTAATTTTCACATAAACGAGATTATTTATTTTCACTTAACCAAGATCACTAATTATCTATTAAGCAAGATCACTCATTATCACTTACTGAGATCACTCATTATCACTTACTGAGATCACTCATTATCACTTACTGAGATCACTCATTATCACTTACTGAGATCACTCATTATCACTTACTGAGATCACTCATTATCACTTACTGAGATCACTCATTATCACTTACTGACATCACTCATTATCACTCACTGAGATCACTGGAGTCGACTTTTATTTTGCTGACTGTACAAACCCCGCCCCCGCTTACTGCTCCAAGACTCATACATAATACTGTATTTTATTAATATTGATATATCGTAAATAACTCCATTTATAACTGTTAAGTATTCCCAGTTCTGGCTAACTTTAATGTCAAATTAATTTGTGAAAAGATTTAACTACATGAAAACATCAATTTCAAGGAATAAGACAAGTGGAAAAAGTTTGAAATAAAGAATATTTACTCTCGAAGTCAGACACAAACTCACGCTTATCAGAGAACTCGTTTGCCACTATTTCTTCTCATTTCTACTAAATTTTAAATATATGAAGACAAATGACACCAAACATATAAAGTAACTGATAATAATGACCATTTTATGAAGCATAGAATTAAGTATTTGCACCCTATATTAACGTAAATGTGTTAAGACGACCAATACGGGGAGGTAGTGTGAGTGGCGGAAGAGCCGTTGAGCATCAACTGAGATACAGGTATTTTAAATCAGGCTGTTCACTTCAGATGTATCAAATGGAAGAGTGATATTTCTGTCAGAAGTCTCATCGGGAATTTGTATGATTATGTAAGTGTATAAACAGATCAAAGCGTGTGTTAATACGACATTTTACAGTCCATTATCATTCTCTCTCTCAATTTCGGTAAGATGGCAAAATATGAAACAACACAATTAAATTGCCGCTCATCTGGGCGACCTGCTGCCAAGCGCACTACAGTACTCCATGTAACGTTCGTTTTAACACCATTACGTGCATATATGGTGTTAATACTTGATTCTACTCTTTTTTTAAATGGTAATTATTATCCGTTGCTTTACATTTTTGGTGTCTTTCATCTTGATATATTTAAAAATTAGTAAAAATGAGAAGAAATCGTGTCAAACGAGTTCTCTGAAAGGGTGAGTTTGTTTATGACTTCGATAGTAAATATTCTTTATATAATTTTTTTTTCCTCACATGGTTTGAAAGTCATGCTTTCAAGCTGTTAAATATTTACAAACATATCTATTGCTAAATTATTACTCAGCACACTGAATATGTGACTTGTAGACTCGATATTTTTACCAATTCTTATATACCGTTACGTTTGAGACAAGTTCGTTGACACAATTGTTGATCGCAGTATAACACTTTAAACTTTCTCACCTTTGCACACCATCGCTGTTATTTTAGTTGTTTGTAGTGCCATTAATCTAGCAGTATCTTACAAAGTAGGTGTGGGAATCAGTTCCTGCCTGTAGGTATTGTGGCTTTTGTGGGAGACAGTAAATGGCGTCCTTTGGTCGGCACAGTTGGTAATCCGATGAACGGTAAACTTGTTGTCTTGCTAAATTCTTCGACCTCTTACTTATTTTATTATCTCATGTTTGTGCTCCGTTGTATTATATGAAGAATTAATATTAATAAAATAAATATAAATAGATGGATGAAAGAAGTTTATCAGTGTCACATATCTTTGTAGTAATAAATAGTTAAAATCTTAAAGGAATATTATGGGTACAAATTGAATATGTTTAGAAAAATACTGTACATTTTGAAAAATCTAGTGAAACGCGTGAATAGATTAATACATATAATACTTGTATTAATATTTAAATTAGTACTGATATTAATATTGTCACAACAATAGGAAACTTTTCGTGTTATATGACGTACTATGTCAAAAACTGTGGCAGTAATGTCGACCAGCGCCTCTCGTAATAAGGTACTACTTTTTCAACTGAACAGCAGCGTAGTCGGTGTAGGCGATTTAAAGTTTGTGTGGGGCAAGAACACCAGGCTGGGGGTGGGTCCCTCCTAGTGGCGAGAGTTAATAATAAGGGAGATGGCGACCCAAGGAGGAACTAACACCAGGCTCGCTGGGGTGGGTCCCTCCTAGTGGCGAGAGTTAACAATAAGGGAGATGGCGACCCAAGGAGGAACTAACACCAGGCTCGCTGGGGTGGGTCCCTCCTAGTGGCGAGAGTTAACAATAAGGGAGATGGCGACCCAAGGAGGAACTCTGCTTTGCGGTGTCTGTGGTTTATTATTTGCAGACTTCCAAGGGCCATTTACGCACATACAGATCCACTGTAAGTTTTACAATGAATCAATTAAGCATAATTACGGCATTGAAATAACCAAAATAGTTTCTAATGGGTAATTTTAGATGATTCCGAAAACAACTGACGATTCAGGCGTGCAAAACAACTATTATGTTTTTTAATAGTTATTCGTGGTGATTACAGACAGTGGTAGTTGAGAAAGTTTGGGGAAATTGAAAAGTTCGGTCAATCTTGGCCGAACATAAGGTTGGCGGGGTTTCGAAGAAAATTGTGGGAAAATAGTCAGTTATTGTGTGGGGTAAGCTTGATGGCCGTATATTACTGTTAAACACTCGGAGAGACGCTTCATCCTCCTTTACCCGGAAATTAGCATTATAGAAAGTGAATAATATCAACAAGATTGGATTGAATTATATATGAGGAGTCAACCTTATTTTTATGAACCACTGAAGTTAGTATGATTTTTTTGTTTCTTTCAGTCTATTCAAATTGGAGTGAAATAAGTTATTATCTTAGGCTGAGACTTAATAGGGCTATGTGAAAGATTTTGAGTTAGGTTAGTATACAAAATTTTTGTCTATGCAAGTTCATTTCATTGGTGGTTGTGACTTGACTTGACAAATATTCAGCATATTGTATTGATTTTTTTTTTGCATTTACAGTAATTGTACATGTGCTATAAGGGATATACTGTACATAAAATGGTAGTCTACAGTC